ATATGATACAGACACATCCAGTGGTGACTCTGCATTAACCTCCTTTTCAACTTGAAAAGCATTTGACTAGGAAGTCGCTCATCTGAAGACCCTGGACCATGCCAGCATGCCCCCACTAAATGATGCCTCTCAGACTAGATGAGATGAGACGTGATCCAGGAAAGCGTTGCTTGTGGACATGAGCATCCTGCTGGTCGGCCGGGAACAAGATCTAGAGATTCTAACATGCCATCTCTTTCCAGGGGAAGTCATCAATGAAAAAGATCGTTGTAAAAAATGCGAAGGGAAGAAGGTGATAAAAGAAGTGAAGATCCTTGAAGTTCATGTAGACAAAGGAATGAAGCATGGGCAGCGAATCACCTTTACTGGAGAAGCTGATCAAGCCCCAGGTGTGGAGCCGGGTGACATAGTCCTCCTGCTCCAAGAAAAGGAACACGAGGTAACGCGCTACTCGAGACACAGAGCTGTCTTTTACGGGAGGGCCCAGAGCGCTGGAGGGCTGGGATAGTGAAGTTTCATTAAATGCATGATCGGAGGGTTGATCCAGGCAACTGTGAGCTGTCAGTGGAGCTCTGCACTCTCTTGTGCTCCTGCTTACCAAAGGATTGCACACTCAGAACTTCACTGTGGATCTTCAGTTTTGTACACAAAAGCATGAAGGGTGAAACCAGCCCTTCCAAGAGCAGAAGGACACATCTTTGGATGTATCAGGAACCTGTTGAGTTGCTGTCACCTGGCTGCTGCAGAGGGGAGGGAGGGAGGCCCCGGCTCCATGTGGGAGTGCTTGTTGAGCTTGTGTGTTGTCTGTATTTAGACTGTAGTCGGACTTGGTTTGAAGCGCACCTCTGAAACAGACATTGGAATATCTTCTTTGGATATTGGCACTTCTGCTACAGTCATGCAACCTCTTCACGGCATCTTGTTTGTGCTTAAACCGACACAAATGTGCAAAGATCCTCGTAGCTTTCCAAACTTCTCAGGGGATCCAGTTTGATGCATTTTCCAAGAGAACAGATGCGGAGCTAAATTTCAGTAACTGTTTTTCCAAGGGCTTGTACAGATAATGTATCACCTTTACAGGTGGGCAGCCTGTATCATGTTCCAGTACCTGTAAACATGCGCCAATGCCTTTGCATTTCCTGCAAGCCCATTTCCCTTGGGGATTTATGTTCAAGATATTCAGTAATTAGGCAGTAGTTAACTGAGGGAATAAAACAACCAAAGTGAGCCAAAGCAGTTCTTATCACTGACCGTGGAGTAGTCTGGGCCCTTTGTGCAGGTGCTAGCACACCTGCCGGTGGGCCTGCCCCCATCAATCCCTATTTCCTCCTTTCGCCCCCCTTCTCAAGGTGTTCCAGAGAGATGGAAACGACTTGCACATGACGCACAAGATAGGACTGGTCGAAGCACTGTGTGGCTTTCAGTTCACTTTTAAGCACCTTGACGGACGTCAGATTGTGGTGAAATACCCTCCAGGGAAAGTAATTGAACCAGGTAAGCACTGGTGGCGCCCGGGATGACCTGGGAGGTGGCGATTAGCCTGCCTTTAGCCAGCGACAAGTCCTCATCTGCAGAGGGGGAGAGCAGCACCGGCTGCCTCTTCGTAATAACCCTGCGTGTGTCCCGTCCTTCACTGTAGGCTGCGTCCGTGTCGTTCGAGGGGAAGGAATGCCGCAGTATCGCAATCCTTTTGAAAAGGGAGATCTTTATATAAAATTTGATGTGCAGTTTCCTGAAAATAACTGGATTAGCCCGGAAAAGCTCACAGTAAGTATGCCAAGCCGGCCCTCTGCTCGGTCTCCTCTTGTGTGTCGTTGCAGCAGCAGGAGGGCATGAGAGTTTCATGCCTCTGCTACACTTGTTCACAGACAGTGTGAATTTGAGCATTTCCTAGGGGTTCAGAGATGTGGCCAGAATCTGTTTCTCTTTCCCATGCGTGGCCCTGGCCATGAAGCAAGGCCAGCCGAGCAGGTCTGTGGGCCTCAGCAGGCCCCTTCGTGGCACAAAGTACGCACAGGCCACGAGTCACATGTGCAGAAGCAGAACTGTCCTGCACTTTGGGCATGTGGACAGAGTGTGTGCAACCTGGCCTCGCAGAGCCCCTTCCTGCCAGGTGCCCAGGCAAACGCTCGGTCCAAGGCAGACATCAAGCAGAGAGAATGTGGGTTAGTGTTTGGGCAGCCAAGCCAAGGAAATCCAGCAGAATTCCACTGCCCAAATCAGGTTGCTCACTTGTATCGCTTGTATTTACACTTGGGCTCACCAGTACAAACAAGTTTTTTTAAAAAATACAGCCAATCAGTTTTCTGTCCAAGGGGCCCAAGGCAGCTCCCATAAACTTCCTTCTCCACTGTATCCTCTGCTGAACGGTCAGTTTGGTGGAGAGTCTTTGACTGGCCCAAAGTCACCCACTAAGTTTCATGGCTGAGTGGAAACTTAAACCCGGACCTCACAGATCCTAGTCCAGCACTCTAACCTCTCTGCCATGCCTCACTTGCTGTCAGGACTGTGTATCAGGCGTTACACGAACATCATCCCACTTCTTGCTTTACTTGTTAATGAAAGGGCGAGTTGAGGGGTTTTTTAAAATGTCCCGCACCCTTTTCCCAACTGTGTAATTAATCATGCAAGAATGGCAATCATTCTGCATTCCCCTCAGCCTGCACCCTGCTCTTCAAGTCACCGGTGTGCATGAAGCTTTGCTTGACACACAGGGAACAGTTGGCAGCTGGTGTTTTCACATCTAGTTTGCCTCTGGTGGTGTTCCATTTTTAAAAGGGAAGAAAGAGAAACAAAAGTGGGAAGGAAGAGGAAACTCGCTTGCTTAGGGAGATTAACAACCCAGCAGACCACCTCTTAGCAATGCGATGACACATTCACCCTGTGATGGTGTTACCGTGGTGGAGAGGAAGGTTGGCAATCGATGCAGAAGCAGCCGCTCTGCATCACCTGTGGCAGACACGGCCCGTAGCAGAGCGGCCTTAAATGGGGATTAGCCAAATTCGTGGATCATGGGCCCGCCAGGGGTCACTAATACGACATGGACACTTTCACGTTCAAGGGGAAACACTGTTGAAACCCAGATACGTGCAGCAGCCGTAGGGCAGTGAACATACGGGCCAGGGCCCCTGATGGAGGGCAGCCCCGGCCTCTGGGAGGCTGTGCTATGCAGCTGAGAGGTCTGTTCCCAGGACTGCTGGCAGCGGCCGACTCCAGGATGCTTACCTGTCTTAGAGAACAGTGTGCGGGCAAGGCCTGCTTCCTGGCAAAGGAGGCGAGGGTTGCACTGTGCAGTGCCGCAGCGATGCGCGCACACAGTTACGGCATCTTGTGTCACTGTCCGTTCAATATTCTCCTAGGAACTTGAAGATCTTTTACCTGCCAGACCAGACATCCCCAACATAATCAGTGAAGCAGAAGAAGTGGATCTTCAGGAATTCGATACCACTCGTGGCTCAGGTGGTGGCCAGAGGCGCGAAGCTTACAACGATAGTTCTGATGAAGAAAGTGGCCATCATGGACCGGGGGTGCAGTGTGCCCATCAGTAAAAGTTTTGTCTGGGAGGGGGACGGGGGGTTGGGAAGTTACACATGGATTTTTCTCTTCAAGTTTTGCCTGACTTGTTTTCAGCAATCCCGTTGGATTGTGTAAACAATCCACATGAGCCCGATGGACATCTGTTGCTGTATGTGTAACTTTTAAATTGGTCCATAGTATCAACAGAGTGTATAATTTAAACTAACCACAAAGACGCTTACATCTTTTTTTGACTGACTGTTCCGTAGCAGAATAAAGGCACTTGAAAGGAAGATGGCTATTTCCTTTTCACCTGGGTTAAGTTTCAGTCCTTGTACTTGTGCTTGATTTTTACCAGTTTTTGTGTAGATTTTAAGTTCTCTATTTTAAATTCAAATTCTACATTGTAAAGTTTTGTGTACAACTTTGTCCTGAGGCTTGGTATTTGGCTGCACCTACATAAGCTGCTACAAATAGAATAAAGAATTTCATAGCCTGTATCTATCACTTTAGATGCATGGTAAGTAAAGGGGCTTGGCACACACGGGGTTAGAACTGATGGGGAACCATGGAAGATGCAAATTAGAGTGGTTGTAAAAGTTTTTTTTACCATCTTGTGAAAGGTTTTGGAAAAGAAATAAAAGCTGTTGGTGTATAACAATATTCTCTGTAAACTCCTTTTTCTATCAGTTCACACTCAGAATTAATCTTGAGTGTTGGAAATAAGCTTTGCCTTTGGATGAACCTTTGTCTCCCTCGTGCCGAAATTTGGTGGAAGAGCTCACTGTGTCGGTGGTTTCAGGTTTTAGCCTGTGCCTTTGAGTTGTGTGGCCCTGCAACACCCACCTGCTCCAGCTGACTTGGGTGCACTGGAAGAAGCTGGCCAGCACCTATGGAGGGGACCGGGTTGCAAAGCAAGGAAGTAAATGATTACTTGAGGCACGGAAAAACCGTCATAAAGAGGTCAGATACCTGCTTTATGCCCTTCACCTATCACCAAAATCGGGTACATCAGTGAAGCCGAGAAAGATGGCAGCTTTGGAAAAATTATGACATTCACTGGCTTCAGTTGTTTTTTTCCCCAGAATGACTATTACTATACATCCAGTGCAGTATCTTTTGGGAGTATATAGTTGGCCTCTAAATAATAACACCCAAGGTACTGTTACTTTGAAGGCCATTGCACTGGTTTTCAAATACTGTTTTTAGAAAAGGATAAAAATACTTGTCTGAACGTGGACTGGATGGGAATGACTCATGCAATGCTAGTTGATTAAATTTCTTCCCTAACAATAAAGTCAGGGTTAAATCTTTTTATGTGCAGTAGAACAAACCCCACTAAAACAATTAACATTTAACTGAGAAATTAACAGAGAAAAAATAAGTTTAATAGGCAGTATATGAATAGTTAAAAATTCAGTTGCTTCTTACTAAAAACAACTTTTCAGGTTCCTTAGGTACAAGAAAGTTGCTTGCCAACTCCATCAACTTGACTTAACAGTTGCTTTTCCACAAAGGACCGTCAACTGGTTCTAAGAAAGAAAAAGAGACAAGATTACGTTGTTTAAAGTTGCAACCTTTCGAACCACCAAGTCATTTTTCCATGCCTTGGACAGAAAGGATGGGATCAGTCCTAGGCTTCACATATTAAGGGGCAGCATCAAGGCAAAATCCATTCCAAGTAGTTTTCCAAGCCACTGTAGTTGGAACCCTTCGTTTGGCTGTAATAAAAGGCTCCCGAGTGATGGCGCAAGAGAACAACCCAAGACGACTTTGGCATTTGTACCTATAAAAGTGGGGCCTAGTAAGGGACCAAGCCAGCCATCTCCTTTTCCTGGACCACCTTTTCCATTCCTGCCCCCTCTCTCCACTCAGCATTTTGTCATGCACAGTCCTCACTGGGCAGTTCTGGGGCTTTTTCGCCAAAGGTTTTGTCCTTCACCTTCCAATGCCTCCCCCGCCCCTTGAGTGTTCAAGCAGTGTAATTCCAAGAAGGAGCTTCTAGAGGGGAAAAATTGGGGCCTCTCTCCATCTCAGGACCAAATTCCACTCCGGAGCAGCTCACAGGGGCCCTATCCCTGTGATGGGTGGAGAGGGGCAGGGGCAGAATATCAGCATAATTTAGATCAAAAGCTGTGTTCCTGTCTTGAGATGCAGAAAGACATTTCAACCTTTTCTAGCAGAAAAACTACACAAATGCTGAGAATGCAGTACGTGATCAGTGGCTAGGAGAGGAGGTCAGGCTGTAACCCTCTAGAGAACCTGATGGACCAAAGTGGAACTCCAAGGAGCTTCAATTCGCCCCTTGGTCTAAGATTCCATATGCTTGCTAGATGGATTAGACTCATCCTTAAAATAGGATGTATTTCTTTTGCTTTAACGCATATTGAAGAGGACTGGGCTTGAAGAAATGCTCCGAAGAGGAAACCGGAGACATGCATCCATTTCTTCACCAGGAAAGAGCAGCCGTCTCCGAGAATTGCTTATTCTGCATACTCACGACAAGTGTGTGGATATGTTGGACGGTGTCATCATTTAATAGCTCCACGTTGATGTTCTGGAGGTCCTCGCCAGCTGAACAGAGAGTCTGCACATGAGCAGAGCATTATGGCATATATGCCACATGGAATAGATGTGCATAAAACTTCATAGACCAAGGGTCCATGCATTCCCTTTCTTGGACCTCACTCATAAAAGATGTTCTTACTTAGAAATGCATTAAGTTAAAATTCAATATTCTCATAACAAAATAATGACCTGTCCCGCATATAATAGTAATCCACTAGTTGTTAAATTCATGAATCATTAGGACCACTCACTGTACTACCAATTCACAGTTCCCCTTTGCACCTGATTGCTCACGCAATATTTCTAATCCAGAACACTGAGTTTGGGGACAAACAACCCAGAATTTGAAATCATGCTTCTTTCCTGGGGTTAGTTTTCCCCTCCTCCTGTTCAGAGGATGCAAATATTTATGGCTAACACGCAATAGCTATGCAAGACTTGCCTAGCAGGGCCCAGTGTCCTTATTTTCAAATTGTTTTCATCAAGCATAGCTTTGTTAGAGGCTTCCTTGGATGACACAATACCTGCCCATCCGCCAGAGGTATGTTGACAAAAGGGACATGTCTTTCAAGGGGCATGGAGGTGCTCCGGACAGACGTAGCCTGAATTCTCCCCGAGGCTGATGCACTTTTGGAAGGGACCCTCTGTGCAAACCTGGAAAGAAACCAGGGAAGAGTTGGACTTGATTTCACTTAAGTGCTTATTATTATTATTATTGTTGTTGTTATTGTTATTGTTATTGTTATTATTAGAACATTTCTATGCCGCCCCTTGCCGAAGCCTCGGGGCGGCTTACAACACAATAAAATACAATACAAAAATAACTATAAAATTAAAATTAATAATATAAATAAATAAGATAATATTATCAGGTCCTTGCAGCCAAGGAGGAAGATTGGCTCTGCAAGCAGCTTCCCTATAGTAATAACAAATGCAAATAGAAGTTGATCCAAAAAGGGGTCTCCAGACTTTTGGGATGGCTGTGCTGGAAGCTAAAAGGAGGAGGCTGAAGGCATTTAGGCTTTTCCTTCCAGAACCCAAGCCTACTTCTCTCTCCCTCACACCCCCAATTTCTTCCCCTTCCTACAAAGATCAGAGCAATGTAGACTGGGCTTAGCTAATCCTGTTTGATGGGGCAGATTGCACTGAGAGTCCAAGGGTGTGCAAGCATTGACACCCTGAGCAGCCCCGAGTTCCAAAATCACAAAGGAGCCAGTGCATTGCAGCAATTTGAGTGGGCCTCAGGAGATAAAGGTTCTAGTCCCCATTGGGACATGAGGCTGGTGACTTTGGGGCTATCACAGACTCTCCGCTTGCTTGCCTCATCAGGTTGCTGTGAAGGTAAAAAGGTAGGACTTGTAAATCACCTTGCAAGAGGCAAAAAGAAGGGATGTAATCGCAAGATCAGATCAGATCCTATTTACAAGGAAGAGAAGCACAGCAATGTGGGCACATCTTAGCTCAGCAGGAAAAATATTCATCTCGCATCTCCCTGGAAACCAGTGCAAGCACTTGAGCATCACGTTGTACAACAAAGTCTCCACGGTTTTGCTTTTAAAGAAGAGCCGCAGCAAGACTTACTTTCTTGAGCCTGCCAGGGGGCACTTGGAGGTAGAGACCGACTGCTCACGCATTGAAGCCGATCGCCCCAAAGTTCTTGCATTTGGAGTGGAGAACGCAGACACAGGCCTGATGGGACACAAGGGCCAGGTAAAGTTTGCGGCTGGCCTCCTCCCTTGCAAACATCTCTTCTTACAGGAAGATTTTAGGTGTGCTGATGGAAGCCTCCATCTTCCACACTCAGTGGGGGCTCAGCCACGGGCAGGGACTTTTCCCTGGTGGCTTCTCCTGCTGAGAAACCTCCTGCTGCTAAAGGCCCCTCCTTTCTTGGTGGACAGACATGTTCACCTCCCTCCACCAATTTACACCATCCCACAGAGAAGGCTGGCCAGCAGGCAATGGCATTGCTTTACTCCTACCTGGACAAAGGACCTTGCTTGCCCTTTGTGGTGGAAGCCAAGGAGGTCAGCGAATTGGCTTTAAATACCTGTCAAAAAATCAAGCCACGTGTGCTTATTTTATCTATCCCCCAGGCATCCTTGGGCAAGCTGGAAACATTTAAGTACTGAAGGTTACAAAAGAACAAATGTAAGCAAAAATGTAAGTTACACACAAGGATATCTTAGCATGCCACGACATGGAAATCCAGAATAAAAGCCATCTCCCAGCTGCACAGAAACAAACAGCCAGAAGACTGGAAAGCCTGGGGAGAGTTAAAGGGGACCTTGGACTGACATCACAGGAGTGTCAGAACAGCCTCTGGATAGGAGAGCTTGGGGAAAGTGTTCCAAGAGTCTTCTTGGTGCCACCACAGAGAAGACTCTTCTTCTCTGGTAGCAATCGTCCACCCGCTCCCTCAGCATCCGTTTCAGTACCAAAGCTGGTCTGAAACTGGGTGGGGAGCCACCTTCAGCCTATGGGACGTGCTGGGCACAGGTGACAGGTGAGGTCACAGCCGACTCCCCCACACAGGTAGACACCTCCGTTCAAACAGCATCAGCTCCCAGCTCAGCTCATCCGTGCAGATCAACCGGCAGGGCAGGGGCATATTCTCCTGATCTCCAAGCTGCACACAGAGAAAGCGCTGCTCTCTGGCATGCTTATGCCCATCCTGGGTTGCAGAGAGGACTCTGGAGCCACAAGGGCAGAGGGCCTTTTGCCTGTCTTCTCTCCTCCTCTGAACACCCGATTTCATCTGGGTGACCCAGTGCGGCTGCTGAGAGGAGATGGAGGGAATGGCGACCAACCAATGGCTGCAGATGAACTCCAGCAAGCCCACAGGTCCATCGCTGGAGGACCCAAGGGGGAAGGTGCTACTGCACTCCTCTTCTTCACAGGCCTCCCCACCACGTGGACAGGATACTGGACTGTGTGGCATTTGGCATGGGTGCAGGATCTTCACCGGAGTGTTTGGATGCAGTGCCTGCAGCAGACAGCGGTGCCTCCCAACTGGCAAAAAGCTCTCTGCCAAGAAGCCAGGATGGACATGACACAACACCTGTCCTCACGTACCTTTTGAGATGCTTTCTTGGCCTGCGTTTTGTTCCCCTCCTTCTCGTCTTTGTACTCCACAATGGTGGTGACCTTGACTAGAAGAAGGTATTTGGTCAAGTGTTACTTGGGCATAAGATTTGGGAGTTACTCCTGAGCAAGCCGCATCCATCTTCCCAGAGCCATGGCAGGATGCTCAGGCATGGACCACGAGAGCCACTGCTACGGCCATCTCTGCTGTGGCCCCTTGTATCTGCCAGACTACCAAAGCCATTTCTGGGTTTGAAGATCAGCTCACCTCGTTTGCTGTTTGTCCTCACTAACTTGGCCTGGGGAAGGTCTCCCACACCGCAGTCGTTCTGCCAGAGGCCGTAGGGGAAAAGCAAAGAAGTTAGGACCAGCTTTGCGCTAGCTGGATGCAAGGCATCGATCGCTAGGCTGTAAGCAAGCGACCAGGATGAGAACGGCTGCATGCATCTCGCAGTTGCAGACAAGCAAGGCCAGCAGATGCGTTACGGCCGGTGTTGTGGGCAGAGAGGGAAATCCACCTGGCCAATCACGAGCTTTCTCCGATTTGCATTTCTGCCTGCTCCCTTTGACCTTTAGGGGTAGCTCTGCATGGATGCATTTGGCGACCACTCAGGGGCCACCCTGAGCCCAGTTAGACAGACGAAGGCCTTCCGCTCTCCGTGCAGCCCAGCCAGCATGGGCGAGGCTGCTGGGGACAGAAGCCTTTCCCCTCGTCCCAGCGTGCAATGGGCTGAACCCTTTGTGGAGCTGCTCCTATCTTGCAGAGCGGAGCACCGAGACTAAAGCACGGGCAGCGATCGTGAGTTTGGCCCTCATGAGAAAATGTCTCCCCCTCTCACCCAAGCTTTCCCAAGATGGTTTTTAGTGATCAAGTCTATGGCCGATTTCTGAGTCAGATATGTATGCTTTGTTCCTTGCTTTTATGTATATCTCATCTCTTTTCCTACAAGGAAGCTTAAATAATCCTCTCCGTTTGATCTTCACAACAACCCTGTGAGGGAGGTTAGGCTGAGCATCAGTGACTGGTCCGAAGACACCCAGTCAGCTCCATGCCCAAGTAGGGGCTAGAACTGAGCCTCTAACTGCTACACCACTCTCTCTCTCTCTCTCTCACTGTAATGGATATTATTCCAATTCCTGTCCACAAGGGTGTCATCATCAGCACACTATTCTGGTAAGTTTTTTTTTCATTAAGTGTCAATATAAGCTTAAAGAGATCAATTAAATAAACCATGCTGAGATAGTTAACAGGGTTAGTGATTTATTTTTAAAGCTTTTGTATGGGTTGAAATCCAGGATGGAGACTTACGGCCTTCAGAACTGTGGCAGCAACAGCTTCTTCCTTGAGATCTGTGGTACAGGGACAGACCATTTAATTATATTTATATCCTCCTGTCTTGTTTTTTTTTCCTGCAAGGAACCCAAGGCAGCTTCCATAATCACCCTAGCCTCCATCTTATCCTCACAACAACCCTTTAAGGTAGGCCAGGTTGAGAGTGAGTGACTGGCCCAAAGCTTCGTGGCTGAGTGGGAATTAAAATGTGGGAGAGACAGCCAAACACTAAACTACTCCAGTTCTAGGAAACAGCTTGTTGCCAATTGATAGAATCTGTTTGCCTCTTACAGGTGAGATATTATTGAAGGCAAGGCCAACATGAAGTAGATCAGAATCTTCCAGCAGATTCCTGGGCAATCTATAGTGTATTTATATAGTATATTTTCTTAAAATAGCAATTACTTAAAGGTGTTCCTCACTGCAAGCTTGCAATTCTAGGCATGTTTAGTAGCATCAGGCCTCCGTGCATCCAATGGGTCATATTTTAAATATTGTAAGCTGTCCTGAGATTTTATATAATAGGACAGCATACAAAAGCTTTTAATAAATGAATAAATAATATTCTTACATACACCTGGACAGGACTGTGAGGTTGCTTAGGCTGCAGAAGTTAAGAAACTGGGGGTGTGAGGAGGGACAAGAAACAGCATTTTGTATGATAGGACAATAAGCCCCACTGAAATACAGAGCAGAAATTCTCAGACTGAGCTGAGGATGGTGGGGCCTGGCCATGCTGGCTAGGGAGCTGCAGGAGCCAGACTCCCGCACATCTGGAAGGCATCAGGAGGGCAGGATGCTGCCCCCGGGAGACGAAAGGCACAGGTGCAATTACCAATCAGGTCTTTCCTTCGCATTTTTCTCACGACCGTGGGCATCGCCAGCAGCTCTACTCTGAACGCTTTCTCAGCCACCTGCAGAAGCGAAGCGAGCTCTTTTTTCAAGTCTTGCAGGTTTTCCTTCGCTTCAAGTGAGTACAAGAAAAAGGCATTGTGATTAGGTTGCAATGAAGGTTAACTGCTGGGGACACGGGGGGGACTCATACGTCTCCAAATGACCCCCTTCGAAAGGGGGAGTGATGGAGTCAGAAGCAAACCAGTCCCACTCGGGGGGGGGGGCACCCCGGTTGAGGTTGCTTGCACCAGCAGCATCCTTTGCGTTTTTCAGAAAGACTTCAAAGGCCACAGGTGGCTTCATGGGGATGAAACTGGGATCACATCTCTCCAATTCTAGCATCCCTTCCTGCGAGGAAACTGCCCTCTTTGGAGAATCCACCTTTTTAGCAACGGGGCATTAAAAGCAAACTGTTTTACTCCAGCCCGTTGTGATGATAACGCTTTGGGCTTCGTGTGATGCAGAACTACACACGCTTCGCTTGTTTTCAAAATCAGGACTGGCGAGCAATCAGCGTTTGGTTTTCAGCTGGTTTTGCTCTTACTTGCGGAGAAGAGGCAGCAAGGGAGCGGGGAGCGCTGGCCGAGTGCTTCGCAACTAAAATAGCGCACAAGGCTGTCTCAGGACGGCTAAATCCAGGACCTCAAAAAAGCTAGTTACGCCGTCACATGCGACACTTCGTAAGTGAAGCGTCGCGCTAGAGCAACCGCAGCTCGCTTTTCCCAGGAGCAGCTGCCTGTTCGAGATTTGGGTACAGGATGGGAAGCAGCGGCTCCTCTTAGGAAGGGCTGGAAAAGAGCCCCTTCGCCCCCTCCCCAAGCCTCACCTTGGTGGTCGAAATCCCGCAGAAACAGGCTGATCCGCTGGTCCCTCTGCTCTTTGCTTAAGAGGCTCCGATCCGGTTCCACTCCGGAGTCGCCGCTGCCTTCTTCTAACCGCTTTCTAAGAGCCATCGCAGCGTGGGGGGCGCAGCAATGGGGCCAAGGGGGAGCTTTATCGCAGCGCCACGCCCTGCCTGTGGACGCGCCCACGCCAAACCAGGTAGGGGGAGGCCCGATTGGTGGAACAGGCCACACCTCTCCTTGGGGAGGGCTGGTCTGGCGAGCAGGATCGGGGCCCGGAGCGGGGCAGCCCGGCTTCCTGGAGGGGCGGCTGCGGAAGGCGCAGTCCTCGGCCGAGCGGCCCTGAGACACGAGCTCCCCGCAAAGCCATCCCGGCCAGGGTGTCCCCTTTATTCCTGGCACGGCATCCGAGCCTTTGGGCAGGTGCACCTTGATGGATGGATTGGCTGAGCATCACAATTTATTGACCTCGGGGCTGTTAACCAGGCATCCAGGTGCCTTAGCGCGACTTCGAACAGGGCGAATAAGGCCAGTAAAAGCAATGGAGTGGCGAAGGCCCCGTGTGTGGAAGGCCGAGCTGAAAAGATGGAAAGGCAAACACGAGCAGTGGTTAAAGGCATAGGTGCCCTGTCCGCGTGGCCCCAGGGCTAAGGGTATTCTCAGGAGAGCCTGTCCTAAGAGACCTAAGCTTTAAAGGGGTCCGTAAATAGGGTGGGACTGGCAAGAGTTATTGGTTCTGTTAATTCCATGGGCTCTCCATGTTTGCAGGCAGCATCGGTTGGTAGTAATCATTTGCATGGTGAGTAAAAATTGCCTTTAACATATTGCACAAGACCAAGCAGGTCAGGTAGGAACAGCTGTTGCATGGCATGATATCAGTGAACTTGGGATGTGACTACAATTCCCATCAGCTTCAGCCAGCACATGCAGTAGTTGGGCTGATGGGTGTTGTGGCAAAACATCTGGAGAGCATTTGGCTGTGAAAGGCTAACACAGAATAGCTTTCCAAGTGCCTCATGCCAGTGTTTGGAAGCACGAATGCTGTGAGGTGCATTGCTGGAATCCAATTATCTTATGCCGCACTCCTTTTATTTACTTATTTTATTTATTTTTGCACTCACATGCTGCCAACTAACCCAAAAGGAACCTCTAGGTGGCTTACCTTTCTATCTACTTGCATGTGTGTGCTTTTGAGCTGCAAGGTTGGCAGGAGCTGGGATGGAGCGACAGGCGCTCACCCCGTCTGCGGACTTGAACTGTCAACCTTTCGATCAACCAGTCCAGAGGCTCAGCGGTTTAACCCACTGCGCCACCTGCATCCCTTAATCAAAAACACAAATCTTAAAAACAATAAAACGATGAAGACATCATCCTTCATGTCCTTTCCCTGGGTATAAGTCTAACTGAACTCAGTGGGGCCTACTTCTGAGTAGACATGAAATATGTTCTTTTGAGCAAAGTGTGGACAGGACTTGGTGTGGGCTCTCTCTCAGATCCCTTTGCCATTTTGGAATTTGTTCCGCAGGGAAAATTGCTGTTGGACAAGTGTCTTCAGGCTGCAGAAAGGTGGCCTAGGCTGCATCTTCAAAGTTGCCTCTGCGGCAAACCCCAGGTGTTTACTTCAGTGGAAGCCCTGCCTTGGGACTCTCCAGTGTGAATTTGGGATCTCCAGCCTCATCTAGGGCATCCTCATGCACTTTTTTAAAGGGACAGCAGAATGATTCTTGCAAAAAGGAAGAGCTTGGCCAGGGCTCCTTGCCATAGGACAAAACTCCGACCAGGAAAGGGCACCCGTGCTGTGCGTGTGGGTGACCGTGCCACACTTTTGCATGTTGAAAGTCTGCTTCTTCAGCAAGTGAAGATCGCTTCCGTGTTGGAGGTTTTTGCTATCTTGTTGAGAGCCAGGGAGGTAGAGTGGTTAGAGGGCTGAACTGGGACTGTGGAGGCCTGGGTTCTATGCTCTGTGATCCCTGGGAGGCTGGGAGCCAGCCTGACCTGCCTCACGAGGCTGCTGTCGAGAGGAGGAAGAGGATCCTCTGCGTTGACTTGGGCTCCTCGCAAGAAGGAAAAAAGGTGGAGTATAACAATAAAAATGCAGTGAAATTACAGACCTGATACTGTCATTACAGATTTTCTTTTTTTTTGCCACTCTGACAATGCACACTCTAGTTTTCTCTGTTAAAAAAGCCAGGGAATCAAGTGGTTGTATGATGAGTTCATAGAGATTCATGGCCAGGTAGTATGAATTTAACTTCTTGAAGTTCAGACTATTTGCAGGTCAAGTCTTTCCCTCTTCCCCATCCCCCAATGCATCCTCTTCCAGCTCCTCTTCTTCCTCTAGGCCTCTGCGCTCTGTAGATGTGGCCATCCGTCACCTCGAGTGTAAGTGCTACACCTGTTCTGCAGTCATGGCACCCCAAAATAATCAGATTTGTAGTAAGGGCGAACTGGCCAAGACACACACACACCTTAAGGGAATAGTTTTCCCCTGAGCAGACTTGAGCAGAGGTACCGGTACTTCCGTGGATGCAACAAGGCCATACTCAAAGAGAACCGCAGCCTTGGTTACTCCATGAACAGGTAGGACACAAAATGACCATTGGAGAAATGATCTAGAAAGTTTCAAGCAGTGCAAGGCTCAGCCGGTGAGTAACCCTGTGGCCTCCAGATGACTACAGTTTCCATAATCAGAATTGACCATGCTAGGTAGAGCCAATGGGAGTTGAAGTCCAAAACATGTGGAAAAGACCAGGTTGCTGACCACTGCCAGGTGCCCATGTTCTCAGTGAAAACATCAGTTCTCAAAAGATATAATAAATTGCTTTTCAATAGTTTTTATTTAGTTCTTGAAGTTGTAGGTACATTTAAAAAGTTATCTGAGGAGCACCTGTAGGAAAGAAACCTACGAGCATGCGTCAGAGTGTTTAATAGTTGCCCATTATTTTAAGGACAAATAAAAATGAGAAGAACATCAGTGTAGCAATTCTCCTGTTTCTTCGGCTGCAATCCCCAAACCCTTTTTTGGGAAATATTATCCACTGAGCTCAACTCCGTGACAGGTTTCCAGCACAATCAAGTTAAGCTTTATCTCACTGTAGAACATACAGACATGACAGATCAACACTATTACAACTGAATTGACACGTCATTCTCCAAGGTGCAGGAAAAAACCATACATTCTCTCTTGCAGTACCAAAAATCAAAAGGCACCATAAGAAGATCGTTTAGAAAATGCAGTGGAAGGCAGGTCAGTATCCTTGATTTTAGAAATAAACTATTAGGATTGCTGTCCCTCTTTTTAAAAGACACGTGGGGGGAATCAAACCTTAAGAATACACCTGCAAATGAGTTGTTTAGAAACATGTAAACCTTGCATTGTTTTCAGGAACACTGGGTATAAACACAAGGTAAATATAAAACCCATTAAGACTACTAATATTACCCCCCACACAAACACACCCACCTACCCCTTCCCAAAACCCATGAAAAAAATCTGCACTTACAAAAATATTTTTAAAAGATCTTGTAATTGCCACGAGCACAGAGTTCTCTTGCTACAGGTTCAGGTATGGCAGTCCCTCCTAAGCAGTGGGCCTCTAGGTCAGAGGGAAAAGCTCAATCGCTTTGGGATTAATTTTCGACCAACATGCTCTGCAAGTAAAACCGACCACAGCTTAGCCTCCCTCTGCTCCATCAGCGCTTAGGAAGCCATGCCAGGAACAGGGCGACAGAAGGCTTCGTCCTGTTTCGGCCTCCTGTCCTCCTGTGGGGCCGACAGGATGGCATAGTTAGGGGACAAAAGGATTAAAAAGCAGCCCTGGTCCGGATGTTCTCAGAGCCGGTGTTGGACAATGGGCTTGTGTGGCTACTAAGAATTCATCAGTAAGACAGCTATTTGCCTCTTTCAAATTCCTCTCTGCATTTTTCAAGGTGATGACCAGCCTGGTTCCGTGAGATGCTTAGGACGTCAGGGCCCATCAGCTTCAGCCAGCATGGCCCAAGGTCAGGTGTTGCAGGCCAAAACATTCTGGGAGAGCACCAGGCTGTTAAATGGAAGCTCACTAGGATTCACTCCCTGTCAGGGTGTCCAGGATTGTGGTCCTAGTCAAGCATCTAGTCTCCAACCAATGGACCCACCCGTTTTAATCTTCTCCCCCTTTCTGGAACTTGGGCAAAACATTAAGCCAAGTTGATAAATAAGACTGAAATATGATCAGCGGAGAAATGTCCTTCCAACATATCGTAACCTCTCCCAGATGGACCAACACGGAAGGGCTTACTACGAAGCGCAATGAATGGGGGACAGAGTAGCAGTTGGGGGTGCTTGTCAGTTTTGTTTCGACTGAAGTCAAAATGAGCAACGCAATGGGACGATGTTACAGTGCAAAGCTAGACTTACCGAAGGAGACCAAAATGCGTGATGACTTCTGCGACAAATCAAATGCTACAGCTGCTTATTATTCAGACTCATTGCAAACATCCTGGGCAAACCATTTCTAGCCTTTTGGAAGCTAGAAATATAACCCACTGCAATGGAATGGAATGGAATGGAATGTTTTTCACAGAACCTCCAGCTGGATTAAAGCTGCGGTCCTGAAAGGGGGCTCAAAATTTGGACAAGGATGCCAGCTTGCCCGGCAGGGCAAAGCATCATCAGTCCCCCAGGATACTGAAGCGAAGGACAGCTCTCTGCTAAAAACAAAGCGAAACAAAATGGCAGTCCATCGGACATACTGGCAAGCTTCCTCCAACATCAGCATTTTCGGTCCTGCTAAGCTGGCCTTCAGAGGAGAGTGAAGAATGCTCGCTTCTCTGTCTAACGACCGCAGTATTTCTGAAGCAGGATCTAGCCAAATGCAGATAGGGCTGCACTATTCTAACAGGATCTGTACTTCCCCTTGTTTCTACGCACCCCTTGTTTTCGTCTTGCTTTTTTTAAGCTCGTGCTCGTAAACAAAAAGATTCCCATTATTCTTTTCCATGCAAAGACTCTGGTGCTACAGTCTACATGCTGGGCCAGCAATACTCATTTGGTTCTCCTGGGCAACGTTTTGGCCTTTTCTTAATACTGAAATGGAAAATCTTGACGCATGCCTCTTGCCTGCAGGCTGGGAGCTGGCTGGCATTCTGCTACAATGCACATTCTTCGGGATGGAAGCAGGCCGGAAGGGCAGGAGGGCCATCAGTATCTGTCCCCGGCCTATAGTTGGGTGTAATGCTCAAATAATGCATCTAAACATCTGCAGCAATCCAGAAAAGCAGTTGCAATCCAGAAAAGCAACATCTCTGTGCAGCCTCATCAAATATAAGAGGCAGGAGTTGCAGAAGAACGTGGACAAACGCTATGCTGCTCTAGTCCCTCCAAATCCTGCAGTTTTTAAAACAGTTCTGGTAAAAAGGGATTTTTTCTAGATGTGTATTGTTGTTTTTGACCCCATAGAAGGGTGCTCATTGACACTAAACTGCCAGCTAAGGCAAGCTTTGCTTCCATTATTTTAAGAACAAAGGTAGATTTTTGCTATCTCACTGTTTTCAAGCGGTAACCGAGTCAACTGTTCTTACTAAGGCCTCCCTTTTCTTCCTTCACCAGGCCAGCCTGCCGAGAATGCAAGTTTGGATCAAGGCACAAAATCATCCTCCCCCCACACCCAATTCCTGCCCTTATTTCCATTTCTTTCCATAAAATCAAAACAGCGTGTGATAGTCCACAGTAGATGCTTGAGCCAGATGAACTCAGTTTTACAGCTGGGTCTTTAGCTATTCCACTGTGGATGTGATTAAAGGAGATTTTTAAAAATCATTTTTTCTTTCACAGCTTTGTCTGGCTTTCCAGATTGACTCCAGAAAGGGAGAAAGAGAAACACAGTCTTTGTTTGGTTTAAGAATATTCTTTCAGAAATTTTATGTGGAAGTCTTTCACTTTTTCCAGCAAGATCTTCAGCTTCTCTACTGGAGGGAGAATGGTCATCCTGTGAAAAGAGCAGAAACTTTTAGAACAGGGTGCAAAGAGACTGTGGCATTAGAAAGGAAAATGAAGGCAATAGCTCAGCTTGCTGCAGCTGCTGGAAACCGGCTTGACTACCAAGCCACACAGTACCCACCGAAAGTGGTAAGTTCCTTCTCTTTGGCCAAACCCACTTCCAGGAACGACACAAATCCCTGTTTCCTCCAGAAGTTTCATACAGTAGAACATGTCAGGAGCCATTTTATGAGCCTGGAGGGATAAAATATCAGAATGACCTGTTGCATGTTCAGTGCAAAAGAAGCAACGTATTTCTTCCAGCATCTTAGTCTGTTTATTCCCAAATGCGTCTAATTTGGACATCTTCCTGGCAGAGACTCTCTGCAACTTTATGGGGTTTGTGGCTCAATCCTACATATGTCTAGGCAGAAAAAGGTACCCAAATTCTCAGCAAAAGTTGGCTCTTAACACTTTGAGACAATTAGGCTGAGCACACCCACCCTGTGAAGAATTCCTTTAAGGCAGTGAAAGGGGACTTGTGACTGTTCCTGAAAATCCAGAACTGCTTCTGTGAAAAAGCAGCCAACTCTTCCTTTAAGCCAGTACAGAAGCTCCGGAGAGCTTTGGTCATTAAGAAAACAATAATGGTGAAAGGGAAAGCAGAAAAAGTAATGCCGGAAGAAGTCTCACCTTTGCCGTCTCAATGGCCTTGGAAGGGATAAAGATCTGTGGAAAAGCATACATGGCTCCTTGAAGGGGGTTGCAGTGCATCCCTGGAACCTGGTTGAACGTGTCTTCTGCCAGTTTGGCTTTTTTGGCAAGGTTGCTCAAGACGGACTCCTTTTCCTATGTTGAGGGCAAGGGGACGGGAAACACAATGACCTCACACAGAAAGCCAACACATCCCCCAAGCCTGCACAAGGTGCTGTGACCCTCCAGGGAGCCTTTCTTGTGGCTCTTTCCCCCTTTATTTAGTTTTTTATTAACTAAAAGCTTTTCTAACCCGTCCACCACTAGCATCCTGGGACGGCTTTCCAAATTTACTGTCCTTCGCATCGTATCTCCTACTCTGCATCATCTTGGCTGGCAAGTCAAAGGGAAAGCACTCTTTTCGAAGAGTCAGGTGACTTGGTATTTTAATCTACACACATTTCAAGTGCGTCCATGTTTTTTCACCCACTTTCTAGGTTTTCCATTTCAGCTCCAATATTGAGCAATTGGGTATCTGCTGAAAAAGGTTCACTGATGCTTTCAGGAGGCAGGAGAAAGAGACTCCCTCTCTCAAACACACCCACCCAAGTACGTGCAGAAAGCAGCCCACCTTGATGAACTGTGCATACGATTCCTCCCCAGGTACTGGCGGGTTCACTACAATGTCCATAGCTGCTTGGCCCGAGACTGGCGGACACAGACGGACCGACAGGAGCTTCACAAGTTGCCCTTTAATGTCTGGATGCAAGTTAATCACCTCCATGTAGCCCCCTCTGTAACCACACCTGAGAGCAAGGGGGTGGTGCAGCAGCAGAAAGGCATGAAAAGAGGGGAGAAGAGGGGAAAATGCAGTCTGAACTTCTTGCAATAATGGCAAACCAAAGCACAGTATTTCTGCAGAGCAGCTTTCATGCAGGTGGGGGGTTTCCATGCGAACTCTGAGATTCTCAGGACAGAAATGGAGTCCAACATATCTGGAGCACACCAAGTCGGGAAATGCTACACTTTCTAGTTATTCTTTAGACACCAGGTTAACACATTTTTATTCTTCCAGGGATTTTAAGTAAATCTATTCTTTCAAGCACAGGTAAACTTTCTGTATGTTTCCCAGTTTAGGTACTGTTTTCCACCAGATTTGGAGGCGAATCCTTATGTCAAGTGCTATAATAACAGAACATATTTGCATTATGTAGGCTTTTTGTGCTAGTGGCCACCCTAAATTCCTTTTTCTTTTTTTAACCAAAAGGAAGAGGCTATGAGGACAGATGCTTTGGACTTCAATGACCACCAGTTCAAGCCAGCATGGCCAATGCACATGAATTCTGGGAGTTACAGTCCAAAACATCTAGAGTAGTAGTTTATTTAGTGTGGTTTGGTGATGTCTGTTGGACTGGGTAGCTGGGAGATCCGGTTCTAATCTGGATTAGACTCGGTTCTAATCCGGGTCTGGGTCTGGATCCGGGTTCTAATTCGGATTCACTTGGCCCATGAAGCTCACTGGGTGACTTTGGGCCAGCCACTCACTCCCAGTGTAACCTACCCAACAGGGTTGTTGTTGTGAGGGTGAAAATAGTGAGGAGAACTTGGGCTCCTTGCAAAGAGGAAAGGAGACTGGAGATGAATGGAGCGTAATAACAAGTGACCGTGATGACCTTCAGAATCGGAGTAGATGGAACAATGTTCTGGACTTCAACTCCCACAAGCCTTTGCCAGCATGTGCAGCGGTGAATGTTGGGGGCTGAAGTCCAAGACTTCTAGAGATTTAATTTCTGCCATCCCTTCCTTTATAGAAAAGAATGAGAATAGTCAGCTGTACACCCTTGTGACTAACACGAAGAAGAAGACTAGGAGACTTACTCGCCCATGTATCCTTTGGAGGTGGAGTGAAAAGACGCAAGTTCCACATTGTTATAGTAATCTGGTCCCATCTCGTAAAGGATCTTTTTGAAAGAATGAAACTGACAGTTTTTTGAATAGATGTTGTCTTGATATACCTGGATTATCAGAGAACACAAGTCTTTGTCTATGAGCAACCAACAGCTTGTATGCTTAAACAAAGGACATAAAGAAAATATGCAGATGGCTTCGTTTAATGCTTTTATTACCTCATCAGCCAGAAGAAAGAGTTTCTCCTCCCAGGCAAAATGTATCACATCTTCAATGCATTTTCTGCTTTGAACCTGACCTAAATGTGGAAGAGGAAACAAAGAGCTCTAATTTATCAACATTGTTACAATTATATGAGCTAGATTTCCCAAAGTACTTAAAGATGGAAGACTTCTAACAGTACAATCAAAAAGCATTCCTTCTTACCAGATTTTTTTCTGGTAACAAAAAAGCTTCACACATGTTGCATTTGCAAAACCAAACCCCAGACATTTCTGGGGAGGGGTTATAGAACTGCTAGCAAATGTACACATTCTCAAGCTGTGCATTTACACACACACACACACACACACACACACACAGAGAGAGAGAGAGAGAGAGAGAGAGAGAGAGAGAGAGAGAGAGAGAGAGCGCGCGCGAGCAGTTGCTTTGAGGAAGTTTATTGAACAGAAGCAAGAATTTAAAATGAATACTAATTTCTTTGGGGAAAGCAACTTGGGTGAAGGATTGTTCCTTAGATACAAGCATAATATGGATATTCTATGCTTATAAACCCTATGAACACCTTGCTTAGGTATCTTAACAGAGTTGTGAGCATGTGGGCTTGGTAGAAAGTCCTTTAGTACTGCAAAGTAAGCACAGTTGCTAAATGGAGACCAGCTTTCCTTCCTCCTTTCCTACCTAGACATGGATTCCTAAGGCTGCATCCGTTACCTCAAAGGTGCCATTAACAGAATTTATTCAGCTGCAAGAACAAAATTAAACGTTTGAACAAATCTGGAAGGCATTTATCCCTCATTCGAAAAGAGAATTCAATTGGAACATGGATAAATATAGACCTTTTGCATTATCCATGTAATTGGTGGATGTGGACACTGGTTCATTATGACTCCATTAGGAAAGCTGAGAAAGTTGGGAAGACTTGGGCTGGAATTCCACATTTTGAGACGGCCCGGTCTTCCAGTTCCCAGCTTTTCCTAGCTGAACTTCTGCTTGTCTAACCTTGTGTGGGTTTGTGTTCTCAGAAGGACCGGTGGAGGGTAGTTGTTCAGAATTATTATCTATGCCTATACATTTGGCAGTACATTTGTGTCTTATTCCTAACACGTTTTCTACCTCTGTATATTTAGAATGGTTCCTTTGAAAGGAAAGATGGAAGATGGAAATGTTACAGATATTACAGATTTTACAGATATGTAAAATGTTACAGATATTACATTTTTGTATGTAGCCAGTGTGGTATAGTGAGCCAGTGTGGTGTGTGAGCCAGTTGTACTGAGCCAGTGTGGTGTAGTGGTTAAGAGCATGCAACTGGGACTCAGACAATCTGGGTTCTAGTCCCTGCTCAGCCACGGAGCCAGCTGGGTGACTTCGGGCCAGTCACAGTCTCTCAGCCCAACCCACTTCACAGGGTTGTTGTTGTGGGGATAAGATGGAGGAGGAGAATGATGTAAGCTGCCTTGAGCACTTTGTAGGAAAAAGGCAGGATATAAACTGAAAAACAAATAACTAAATAACTAAATAACTAAATAATAGATATTGCTTGGGCCTTCAAAAACTCTTGGGTTGAAGGTAGTGGGATCTCAGGATGAAAGGCATCTCTAGAAGAACACTTACAGAAGAGTGGCGCCCAGGGAAGCAGCGGGGTGGGTGTTCTGCATACCTGTGGGATTTCCTGGATTAATGATGCACAGGACCTTTGGACTGCAGTACGCCTTGGCCTCGTTCAAGGACCGGCGAAGCTCATTCACGTCCAGGGCCCAGCAGTTTTCTTCGTCAAGGTAGTAGCTCATCTGAACAGCATCCAGCTCTGAAATGACTGCCGAATACAAGGGATACTGGGGGATTGGGATCATCACACCGGTTCGAGATCTTCCCCCTCCGGACACCAGGAGTTTTAGAATAGTCTGGGGAAGCAAGGAGGATAATTTATTGTATTTGGCAAGTTTCAATCTTCTTTTCCTTCCCCACTACAAATGAAAAGCACTGATCTGTTCCAGTAAGATTTTGCAATGTTCTTTAAAGCACAGAAACAGAGAAACAGAGCGAGTCAGAAGGGGTCTCCCGGGCCATCTAGTCTGACCCTCGGCTCCAGCCAGCTCCGCTCACGACATGCCCACCAAAGCATAAGAAGAGCCATGTTGGATCAGACTATGCATCCAAGTAGTCCAGCATTTTGTTCGTCCAGTAGCCAGCTAACTGCTAGTAGAAAACCCACAAGTATTTATTATTAGATTTATATCCCACCTTTTCTTTTCTTTTTTTAAAGAATGCCAGGTGGCTAACCCTGGTCCTCCATGAATTTGCCCAATCCCCTTTTAAATCCATCCAAGTTAATAGCCATCGCTCCATCTCGGGGTCATAAATCACACAGCTGAACCATGTGCCATGTGCAGAGCAAAGTCTGTCCTTCTGCCTGCCTGAGACCTTTCAGCCTCACGCCTCCTTCGAGTTCCAGAATTATGCAGGAAGCAGAAAGGTCTCCTTATTCAATTTCTCTGCACTGCGTAATTCTGAACATTCCTTATCACATTTCCACTTATTTATTTACTATTTAACAACTTTGTTTACCGTCACAATAGCCACAGGGCTCTCTGGATGGTTTACACAATAACATTAGAAGCAGCTACTTTAAGAAGTAACCAAAATATGTGCTTTGACAGGGTTCCTTCCACAGCCCTATTCTTGGCCCTGTCCATATCTCACATACTTTCACATTCACATCCTTTACTGGGACCCAGAGCTAAACATCTCCCTGAGGTACTAAAAGAAGAGTGGCTTGACTGGAAGTTTTAAAGCCCCTCGCCAGCACTGTTTTGAAGGTCAGTTTCCCCTTAAAGGGAGGGACTGTAGTTTCTAAATCTTCACTTATACTCATGTACCCAGCAAGGGGCAGCCAAAGGGTTAATGCATCTAAAAGTGACGCTAATGCATAGCCATTGATATGACAGCCATTCCTGGTCTTGCCTGCCTAACCCTCTTCCAAACTGACGGCCTTCTTGCAATACTGAATTCTACACGTACGTGCTTTCCCTTGCTTTGAATCTCCCACCCCTCATCTTCAGTGGGTGACCCCAGGGTTTCACACTTATGAGAGGGAGAACACCAGCACCCGACTGGTTTTCTCTGTGCTATGAATCGTTTGCATGCAAAATTTTCAAGGCCATGTGCTGCTAACATGGGCAACTGGGATTAAGCAGGCTGGCAAGCAAATTTGTGGGCTAAAAGCTTTTGTGACTCTCACAGTGGATGGCCATGGGCTTAAATGGCTTTTAAAAGGGGATTAGACTAATTAATGAAGGAGGAACTAGGGCAGTTATGTAGAACCTCCATGTTCAGGAACAGGATGTCTGTGAATACCAGTTATGCAGAGGGGAGTGCACAACAACAGAGTGGAAACTCCTTTCTTCAGAGCTTCTGCAAAGCATGAGGCTGTCCACTGTTGGAAACAGGATGCTGGGTTTAGATGGGTCTTTGCTCTGATCCAGCAGGGCTCTTCTTTTAATAAATATCACATGCCAGGTACATCCTAGCCCACAACTGAATCTTGGCAGCAGCTGACAGCTGCGGATACGTGCGCTTCGTGTCTGCCTTTTCCTGCTATACGTTCTGGAGAAGGGATTTTGCTTCATCGGGCAGAAAAGGAAGAACAAGCCCGGCCCACTGTGGCGAGGTGCGCATTGTGTGAGCACGTCCGACTGCAGCCGACCAAGGTTTGCACATCCAGCCCTTGCCCGGCAGCCAGCCCAGAGGCTGCGTGCGCTGGAAGGATCGCCAGAACTGCAGGACCCAGAAGGCTGCAATACCAAGCCGCGCCAGCGGATGGCATTTTAATGAAGTTTTTGCAAGGCAGCAAAAACGTCCTGGTATGGATAAAAAAAATGGGGTGGAGGAAAGGAGCAGGGACAGCACAGCAAGTGCTGATGGACTCGCTTCAAAGCAACCCCACGAGAAACCGTGTGCATTGGAGCGCAGACGGGTTTGCTGCTGAAGGTCAACCAATGCTGCCTCTTGGCAGCCCTGCCTGCGGGGTGACCCAGTCCAAGCGGGAGGACAAGGGGCGAGAGCTGGGAGGGCTGGTTCCGGGTCAGAGAGCAACAGGCTTCACTCCCCCTTTCCTGCCCTACCATCCCTCAATGTACTGGACAAAAGCACTTTTTCCACCGAAAGATTCTCCCATGCCCCCATTTGTGAGCCAGATCAGTATATAGAGAGGCCGGGCACCAAAAAACATGGAATTCACTAGCCTGGAGAAGACTGGAGCAGCACTGGAAGAAGACTGGAGAAGACCTGCGGCCCAATGTCAGGGCAGGGCGATAGCTTAGTGGGAAGGTGCATGATTCAGTCCTAGGTAGGCTGGAAAACCTGCTGGAGGCAGCTTCTGGTCCCGTGTCAGGCTGGGTGCCTTGTGTCCAGCTTGCACGAGCGAAGGCCAGGGATGCTAATGGTTTGGGCCGCCCATGCAGCTAAGAAAGCGCTGGTGTCGTCAGCACTCCAATGGCGGCTGGTAAATGGGAAGAGCAAGTGTTGGCTTGTCCCATATTCCGGGGCGAGGAACCTGCGGCCCTCCAAGAGGGGCTACAATCCCAGGCCTGCCCATCCTCAGTCCCTGGGAAGGGGCCGTGGCTTGGAAGAAGAGCCCCTGCTTGGCAAGCAGAAGGTGTCGAGTTCCAGGTGTGGCCGGAAATATTCCTGCCCGAAGCCCTGCCAAGCCACTGCTGCCGGTCAGTGTCAAAAACACTGGGGTGGTGGGAGCCAGGGTCTCTGTCCTCTGAGCCCTGGCTCCTCTGCTTCTGGGAAGGGGCAAGCCAGGCTGCCTCGGGGAACCCCTCGTGAAGCAGAGGAGAAATTATGGAAGCAGAACGTACAAAGGGCAGCCATGGATTTGACATGGCTCTGAGGCTGCTATGAATACACTGCGGAAGGGACAAGCAGTGAAACAAGCATATAGCAACCATCAAGATAAATAAACGAGGGAGTTATTCAATTTCACCCCTCCGCCGGGATGCAGAAATTGGGGTTCTGTTTTCTTGCGCTGACATCCCCTTCTATCACCACTTCTAGATGCCTCGTCTTAGCCGGCTCCTTTCTGTTGTGAAAACAAAGGCTCCCACCCTGCCAAGCCCCCAGATGCTGCCAGGACAATCATCAGGGTGGGCCAAATCCATTTCTATGCACTGGTTTAAGTTTGTTCCAAGCTGGTGGCTCAGGTTTAGTCGGTCTGAAGGAGACACAGATCAGTTTTCCCTAAGGTGCAAAGAGAAGCCCTGCAGCAAGCTCGGAGAAGGACACCTACAGCAATGCCGTCGCTCGCCCCCGTTGTCAGGTAGATGTTGTCCGGGTCCGCGGGAACCCCTCCATCTCGCCGTTCGATGTACGCGGCAACATCTTCCCGGATGCAGTTCACTCCTTGGCTGGCGCTGTAGGCACCTGAAAAGAGCAGGAACGGTCATCAGACCCCGAAACGAGGGGAAGCCTTAAGATGCTAGCTGAGCATGGGCCAGGCAGGTGGTCACGGACCCAGAGTTTTGGACTTTGACTCTTGGGAGTCCATCAGCATGGCCAGGGTCAGGAATGCGAGGAGCAGTAGTCCAAAACTTTCCACCTAGCTCTGCAGAAAATGCCTTGCTTTTTATGCCAAGTTTGTTACACAAGCCCAGGAAATTTAAACTTTTTGAAACGCGGTGGGTATTTTGCCCTTGGAGTGGACACCGTAAGTCAGAGATGGTATTCTAGGCAGCTCCATCACAGAACAGCAAAAATAAAAAGCCGCTTTAGCTGGTTAGGGAAGAGGAGACAAGGATGAAGCACTGATCTTAAGAACCAAGGCAAGAAATTAGGCCATGGCGATGTACCGCTGACAGATTATGGAAAAAAATATTTTAATTATCACCTCAACCTGCAATAGTAGATTGTGACAAAACAACAACAACCACCCCAAGATTACTATCTAGGAAAGGGATAAAACTAGTTTTATTAAATGATGTTTGTATGAATAAAGTGTTAGTGGTTTTATACCCTGCTTTGGGATTATTTTACAGCAAAAAGATAGTTATACATTTCATAAATGACCAATGTATGGACTGGCGACCAAGCTGGCATAATTTCCTCCTATTTTCATTCAAGATGTTCTCCTCTCGCAACGCCAGCCTGCCCAGGCTCATTCTGGGCGGTACCGTTCTGCGAAGCTGAATGCAAGCATAAACACGCTTGCACACCTAAAATGCATCTATCCGTCTTTGGGGATGGGAGAGTAGGAAAGCAGGTTGTCCTTTTCTGTACATCACCTCTGCATATGAAATATGCTATCCGTTAAAAGATCAATGGACATCTGAGAGATGCAAGTTGAATCTCCAGCCATCCAGCAGCCTTCATAAAGATAAGACGATCCTACAGTCTGTCACCAGAAAGCCCTGGATTTGCTAGAGGTCTGTTTCCATCAGCCCCAGATTAATCCCTCCATTAATCTTCAAGAAAGTTTGCTCCTTCTGTGAGTACACACAGTCCTATAAAAAAGACTGGACCTGTTATGCGAAATGGGCCCACAACCACACCCAGTCCTTGCAAGTTCCAGGATGCCTTCTGTGGAAGTCGGATTCATGTGTCTGCACCTTGCATTTTGGGGTCAAAGGGAACGCACACAAGTTGGTTTTGTGCAACCGGCCGCTATGTGCCATCAAGTCATCTCTGACTTTTGGTGACCCTATGAAGGAAAGCCCTCTGCGATGTCCTTATCTATGACACCCCTGCTTAGTGGCTCTGAATCTGAGGCTGTGGCACCCTTCATTAAGTCCATCCATCTTGTATTTAGTCCTCCTTGTCTTCGTCTGCCTTGAACTTTCCTCAGCCTGACTGTCTTCTCCAGTGAGTCTTGCCCTCACATGATGTGGCCAAAGTATGACAGCCCCAGTTTCCTCATTTTTGCTTGTAGAGAAAGGTTTGGTTGCTGAATTCTTGGAAACCCATGAGTTTATTTCACAATAACTTTCTAATGCCTAGTGAAAGTGAGGAGACACTGAGCAAATGGGCCTGAAAAACAAATCAACAAAAAAAACCCAACCCCCAAAAAACTGAATACCACCCCCCCAAAGCCAGATGACGAAGTTAATTAATTGCATGTCCCCAAATAAAACCATGCCAGTGGTTCCTCTGTAAGATTAGGAGAAGCAATTTATCTTAGCAAGGATAAGCATGTGTTGTGTACTGAGGGTCTTTGGTTTGATTCCCTGCTTCTCCTTCCTGAAACCCTGGTCCACTGTAAACCAGCAGTAGAGGAACAGTCCAGCTCATTATAAAGTAGCTTCTTATTCTCCTGACTTCTGTCCAAACCGTGCTTGCAGCATCACCAATTTAAGGTGATGGTGATGACCTATAAAGCCCTAAACAGCTTGAGATCCGAGTCAGAGGCCCTCCTCCAGGAGCCGTCCTTGAAAGAGATCAGGAGGGTGACTGCTCAGAGGAGGGCCTTCTCTGCGGTGGTGCCCGATTGTGGAACATGCTCCCCAGAGAGGTTCACCGGGTGCCAACGCTTCTATCTTTTCAGAGTCAGATGAAAACCTTTTTATTCTCCCAGTATTTTAATTGCTAATTTGTTTGAGGGGAGGGCGCACATTTTAGCATCATTAGATGCTGGGCAATTGTTGTTGTTATTCTTGTTTTTGTTTTGTTTTTTGATTAATCTGCTGTAAACCTTCCCGAGACTTTTAAGGATGGGATGGTATAGAAAAGTTTTAGATAGGTAGGTAGGTAGGCAGGTAGGTAGACAGAAGCTCACTTGGAAAGAAAACGTAGCAAAGATGCTTATATGACTGTTTTCGTTCCAGACAGTGAGACGTGCAGTACCTATGTGGACCTGCCTCTTACAGAATAACTAAAGCAAGGAATTATACTACCTTATTGCTCTGGTTAGACTGGTTTTGACATTCAGTCATTATCAGACACACCTTTATGGGCTAAGTAAGAATCAAGCACGGGGCTGAGGAGGAGGATACGGGAAGACTCCAAAAGACTCTAAAACTCCAAAGACCCACAGCTGCATTTGCCATGTGGGTATTTAAGACTGCTAGCGAGGCCTTTCTCTATGAACTGGCTGGGGTCATCCCAGTTGAGATTTAACGTTTAGTGACAGGCCAAAGGCAGCTCTTTGAATTCCTCCTCCAGATAAAGGGAGCGGTCTACTCCTATCCCTCTTGGGGAAAAACTACCAAAGCTTGCAGCTTATGGACACTCACTGCTTATCCAAGCACGAGCATTTTTCCAGCAGGTCTCAGTCACCAAAGCCAGTGTGTGCACACACATTTCTGAAAAACGCTGCATGCTCACACTTTAGGTCACAGAGAATTTCCTTGGAAGTAGATTCGCACATGGAAAAAACGTTTACGGCAAACAAAGGGAAATGCAGCTGGTTAGACTGCCGTTTCTACTTCACCAATGCAATGAAATCAGAAAGAGGAGTAAATTCTGCCGATCCCCTTCCTGTGATCCTTGCGAAATCTTGGCTGAAATGGCTGGGCAACTCTGCCAATATTGTTGCAGGATTCCGCCTCACTGTATTCAATAGAAATGGCTAGGCCTGCTTCGTGGAGCTTTCGCAAATAATATAAGTCAGCATCTGTCTCCTAATAGAAGTGGCACAATTGTGGCTATTTATATCTTTGAAATGCCCCCTCTTAAAATGCATAAAGGCAAAGGTAAAGGTTTCCCCTTGACGTTACGTCCAGTCATGCCGGACTCTAGGGAGCAGTGCTCATCTCCGTTTCCTGGCCGAGGGAGCCAGCATTTGTCCACAGACAGTCTCCGTGGTCATGTGGCCGGCATGACTAAACACCGAGGTGCACGGAACGCTGTTGCCTGCCCACTGAAGTGGCACCTTTTTATCTACTTGCATTTGCATGCTTTCGAACTGCAAGGTTGGCAGGAGCTGGCACAGAGCAACGGGAGCTCACCCCGCTGTGCAGATTCGAACCGGCGACCTTTCAGTCAACCAGCCCAGCAGCACAGCAGTTTAACCCACTGCGCCACCTGCATAACACTGTACAATAGAAACAGATGTCAAACCATTACAAGCAAGACTGCTGTACACTGCTGATGTTACTCCAACCCATGGAACTGATTTTAAAAAGTTCTTCTGCACTGAAGGACATGCAAGGATCTAGGAAAGGTAAGAACATGTATAAGGTAATAGAGTACCCAATTGCTACTAGTTCACTACACTTTGAGAGAACTGGGCATGTTCAGCCTTGAGAAGAGACTGAGGGGGGATGATATCCCTCTGTAAGTACCTCAAAGGCTGTCACAAAGAGGAAGGGCAAGATCTCTCCTTGGTGGCTCCAGAGTGTAGGACACGGAATAATCAAGTCAAGTTGCAACAACCCAGATTCAGGCTGGACATCAGGAAAAGCTTCCTCACTGTCAGAGCAACATGACGTTGGACCAGCTACCTAGAGAGCTGGTGGGCTCTCCCACACTAGAAACAAAAAGAACCTGGACAGCCACCTGGGTGGGATGGTGTGATGTGGTGTCCTGCAGCAGCAGGGGGTTGGACCCATGGCCTTCATGGCCCCTTCCCACTCAGCCATTCTATGACTCTATGAATTCTGAATCTAGACTCCACCGTGGTGCAGAAATAACTTCCCAGGAGTTTGCTCCCATGTGCCTATAGTGTGTGTGTGTGTGCGCGCGCGCACGCACATGTGAATAATGGAGAAATATTTGTGGGATCAATTTTCCCCACCCCATCTTTGTGCTCCTTCTCTCCAATGATCCGAGGGGAAAACCCGGGTTCCCATATTTATATGCACACCACAGCATTGTGGGATCACAACACATCACAAATGGTGGGGGGGGAGGGAAGAGTGTTCGAAGGAAAGAGAGGAAGCAGCTGTCATGACTTTTAATTCTGGATCTGAAAAATTAAAGGCCAGTTCAAATTTGGAAACTACCGGTCTAAAACAGAATCTAAGCCAGGTTGTTTGAGCTTCCCTGGCAGAGAGCTTGCAGAATAAAAAGAGCAGAAAAGAAGAAGCTATGGGAGAAGTCCCCAAACCTTTTGGGTCAGGAAGCACATGTGCAATTTTGGGAGAGGGCAGTGTTGTGGGCACTCTCACAAAATGGCTGCGATGGTGGGCATGGCTTAACACAACCCCACTCCTTTTCCAGAAGACAGACAAGTAAGACCCAAGAAAAGCAGCTTGCCCAGCAACTGCAGGACAAAGCAGAGTTGGCCACTGAGCTCCAGAACACGACGCTACTCTTCAGAACCCAAACAAGATCGTGCTTTGAGGCAGCCCTTCACTTCGCAGCAGTTTCAGAAATAAAATCAGCCCAGGCAAGGATAGTTTGGAGGGACCAAGCGTGACTGCAGGCACATGTGCCCCCAGAAAACCGGTTGAGCCCTTGGGGCCTTTGGTGCAAATAAGCAATTTGCAGCTGGCCACATGAGTATCAGGAGTTCCAGCACTTGTGACAGTTAAAACTCTTGTTTTGCATTGGTCCCAAATACAGCAAGGCCTGTGGGTGACGGTCTGAAAAGCAAGAATCCGTTAAAGTAGATGGACCAAGCACAATCTAGCAAATCCGATCATATCCTGAAAGCACAACACCACCTGGTTTCACCCCAGAGAAAGGGCCCCCGAAGTAGCATTAGGTGACGCAACGAATAATGTAGCGCTCACACCCCCTTTAGAAACGTCACATTAACTCAGTTTTGCTGTCTGGAAAGAACGAAATCAAGACTGTCAGATTTGCCTGTTCTTTCCCTGCAGCAAAAGCGGCATCTACCGACTGCAAAGGATGGAATCCTATGCGTGCTTAGACAGAAAATTGCTCTCTAACTTCCAGCCACAGAGTGTTTGGAACTGTATCCTGAAACTCCCTTTTTCCAACACAGGCAGCTGGAGAGCAAGGCAACTGGACGGAGCTGGGCTGCAAGTAGATTGTCTCCCAGGTAGCCATCTTACATGTTTACCTGGGAACGAGTCCCAGTGAACACAATAGGGCCAGCTTCTAAATTGGCACAGTAGGATTGTGTTGCTCCTCGGCTGCCTGGAAACTGCACTCCAAAAGAGAATGGGCTTGAGCAAATCCAAAGGGAGAAGGAGCACCGTACGGTCGGCAGGAAATTAATTACGCCTGGGCATGACTCTGCAAGGGTTCCCATCAGGCTTCTTTGGCTTTTGCAGGAAGGAAAAGAAGAACAGGCTGCATCAAAGAAACGCCCTGCAGTGGCAAGCAAAGCTTTCAGGAGTAACTCTGCAGAAGTGCAGTTGAAAGACATGAGTTCTAGGAGTCTCCTGCTTTAGGTAAGATAGGAATGTCCAAAGCCATCTTGTTGTCTGAACCCACACTGCCTCTGTAAATAAAAGGATCCAAATATTTTCCTGGCTGTCTTTAAAAGCCTACAGAAACCAGGCTATGTTACTTGTATGCTAACATTCCAAAATTACTGGCCGTACAATAGAAGCGGATCGTTAAAAATTATTATTAGGACACTACCTAAGCTGTTTCCACCGCAACCTTGCAGGATCCGTCTCGCTCTCTTCTTAGAATCTTCTGGGAAGCTTGGGCTGTCCAAGAGGTTTGGGTAGGTACAGAGGGCAACCACCTGCATTGCCAGAAAAAGCACAGAAAGAAGCCAGTGTTGAGTACGCCCATTGGAAACTGAGCATTTCCCTGGCATTGCATCAAACACTGTGACCTTGGTCAACCTGGTGGCCTTCAGTATTTTGAATCAACTCCTGGCAGTTCCAGCCAGCATGACTGAGGGTTAGGAATTCTGGGGATCTCATCCAAAGCAACTGGGAGGCATTGGGTTGAAGAAGGCTGAATTGAGTTTCTGTAGCTTAAGAAGAACCCTTCTGGATCAGGCCAAATTTGTCGTTTCCAAGCGGGGAAAGATGCATTTCTGCCCAAGCTGCAGGCACCAAGGTTTGCCTTTCTCTGTCTGCAACTGATCTCTGAATAGAACAGAGATGCGAACCTTTCTCAGCTGTAGGCCCACATTCCATGTTGGGCTTTCGTGGGCCACATTGAAGTAGTGAGTGAGGCCAATGGAGAAGGAAGGAAGAAGCTGCCGGACTGTTCAACCTACTGTCTTACTGCCAGTAGCTAAGCCTTAGCAGAGACATTTCAAACTTTCAGAAAGGAGGAAAAAACAAGACACAAGCCGGGGGACCTCCAAATGAGAGGTGGTTAAGGGGGAAAGGTAGGGCTAGGGGGTGTGGCCAGCCCCCTCCCCCAAACGCCTGAGACTCTTCACTCCTGAAGCATGGAGAACTGGAGAGTCTGTGCCCCAAGCCCCATCTTACCTGGCGAAGAAAAGTAATGGGCTGCTGTCCCATGGCATGAGCATCACCAATATTGGCTTTGATGACCTCCGTGAAAGGCTTTTTGATGCCCTGGGGGAAGGGAGGGAAGAAAGCACATGAGGAGCTGATCAAACTTGATAGAGAAGAGCAAATCAGAAACAAACAATGACTCACTTGGGCACCCTTCCCTGTTTCCTAAGGACTATGATGCTAAGAAACATCTGCCAAGCAAGCAGGATCCCCAGAGAATTAAAAAAAGATGCTGGAGGATTGGACTGGTATGGGTGGGGATGAAAAATTGTGGGTGTGTGGGTGGGCAGTGAGAAATGACCATCTGGTCCTCTGGGAAATGGTTTTGGTGTAAAGAAGCCTTTGTTTCTTACTGCTGTGCAGCTGGAACAAAATAGGACAGTCCATCGTTGAGTCTTCTCACACTGAGAGGATCTTACTGGTAGGGCAAGTGTCTGCTGGGAGGAGCTCTAGGGGTCCTACTCTGGCCCCGTGCCCTGAAACATGCATGGGTGAGGCTAAGGTCAAGGATTTGGACTGGGGATGCTGGGTTTCCAAGGCCTGGTTGCCCATGCAGGGAGCTGAGCGTCCAGCGGACACATCCTTGGTGTGTCAAGGCATCACACGGCAAGTCCTCCACTTGCACAGCTGGATTAATGAACAACATCTGGGCTGCATCAAAGCATGAGAGGAGCCTTGCTGGGGCAAAGGTCCACTGAGTCCGGCCGTCTGTTTCTGACAGTTTTGTAGGGCTGCTGGTGGAGGGGTGCCAGAAGCTGAAGTCCAACGTAGTCGGCAGGCACCGAGTTGCAATGCCACACCGTCCTTGCTAGAATGGGCACTTCTGGGAAGCACTGTCTTAAAATACACTCGGGAGGTCCTGCTCACCCCTTAGTCTTTGCAAATTAAGGCAAAAATATTTTAATTGTACCTTTTTGATGAGAACTAATCTTAGAGTGATAACATCTGATGGGCATTCATGCACAATCAAGCTCTCTTTCTATTGCAAATAATGACCTGGGTCACACAACATAACATGCCAGAGTATAGGTAGGGTATGGATCGTCTTTGTCGAAGTGTGAGTTAGCGTGTGAACCCAGCTGTGCTAGCATACGGTGGTTTGCTAACTAAAAATGGCCCCTAGTTCACAACTGAACAACAAACCATGGGTATGATTCACTGTGGTTAGCAAGCCATGGCTTGTTAGCAAAGCTGGGTTCACACATTACAAACCATGACTCAGCAATAACCTCTACTCAACCCGTCTCTGGTTTATCCAGCCAATGGCCTTAACATCAGCCACATTTTTTCCTTCCTGCCCCACTCATCGCCCAAATGGATCAAGAGTTCTCAAGCATTTGAAGGCTTGCACTGTGTTCTGTATAAGTTGGCCTTATTACTAGCCATTTTTCCTCCAAGATTTTTCTTTTGCCCATCAAAAACAGTTGGTTTTTAAAGAAATAATAACAACTCACAAAACATAGTAATATTTAACACCAGCCCATTTTGTATGTCAAAGATCAACACATACAAAGACATTCATTAGCCAAAGGCTGGATTTATTCTCCATCTCCCATCAAGAGTTACAAAGAGTGGAATGGAGAGAATTTAAACAAAAAGCATTGGCTGCCAGGGACACAAGGTTAAAGATCTTTGTGACATGCAGCTTGGAGAAGTGAATGCATGCTGCGTCAGAAGATACCCTGAGAGCACTGGCAGAAGTACAAAAGCCATCCAGAAAGCGACTGCTGAGCCTTAAGAACATTAAAGAATCTCATTTCCATCAGAGAGGTCGTCTCGGAGAGAAGATTTCTGTTCCCCACCAAGAAAAGCAACAGAGCTCAGTCCTAAGGGAGTCCACAGTAGGTTTACAAGTGTTCTTCTGGCAGACCTCGTGCCAAAAGTTCTTGAACTCGATGACCAAAACTACAGCTGATGCAGCTTTCTTCCATGGTCAGCAACCCCACCCCTCCACCCGCAGCTGCTGCAGAACTTCTGCCTTCCTCGTAGAATGCCTTCATGAATTGATAAAGTGTCACGAATTCAGTCAGGAAAACTCATTTAAATGCAGGGTGCTGAACTGCTGGGGAAAAAACCAGCAGCCACTTTACTCATTTAAGAGTAGGAAGAAAAGAGGTTTTTAGTCAGAAGGAAGGACAAAAAATTCCTCTGACATGCACTTTGGGAATGTGAATATCATGAGTGGAGCCAGGGGTCAGACTAGATGGCCCAGGAGACCCCTTCTGACTCACTCAGTTTCTATGTTTCTATGAATATTAAAACACTGCCTTTAATTGCAATCTCAGCATTATTTATTTCCAAATAATGATGCTTGGAAATGCTAAAATCCTTTGTCGGAAGTAAACTGAATGAATGCTGAATTCAGAGGCCCTTAAGAAAGTATTCACCTGACCAACAAACTTTTTCTACATAAGAGAAAGCCAGTTTATTAGTGTACTGGACGTATACCCATTTTTCAACAATGAAATGGCCTTCAAAATGGCTGAAAAGAATAAACACAGTATCTCTTTGCAAGGCTTTCTGAAAACCTGACAATACTGTACAATTTGAGATAGTTCCAATCTGTTGGTAGACTATTATTTGGTGTTCCTTCTATGATGTTATGTTATTCATTATTGATATTCTGGTTTTAACTCTCTAAATTGTGTGCATTTATGATGTTTTATATTGTTAGTTTTTATCATGCAAACTGTCTAGAGAGCCATGTAGTTAAGAGGCAGTATACAAAAGTGTTAAATAAGTAATATCATATAAATAATATAATAAATGCTTTATCTTTCTACTCATAGGAAAAGCCCTTTGGTTCTAGTGCATATAGAATTAGCCATCTGCAAAGTTGGAAGCTGGTCATCTCTGCTCAGCCTCATTCTACTCCTACCTAGGAAAGTCTGCAAGAACTGAAGCCTAAAAATTCTGTGATCAAATAGACTCACTGAGGACGCAACTGCCCTGGAAGAGTTTGTGCCTGTGCAACTTGCGTGAAATTCAAGCTGACAAGAGCTGTGGTCAAAGGGAGAGGAGAAGCAGCCTTGATGTTAACCTCAAACGGCACTGGAACAGTTTGACAATCTTATCATCTCTAGGATGGGATGATGTAACAGGGAAAATTTATTACAAAATCCAACGTGAGGTTCCAAATGCGACAGATAGCGCAGATGGCTATGACTTCATGCAAGAAAAGGTGTGGAGAAATTGCAACAACGAAACAAGACAACTCAACAAAATCCTGGTTATAAATGTAGCTTTAAGACCATTTTAATTTCTAGACATATATCATGCTCAAAACAGGGGTACCCTGAACATGGGTGGGCAGAGTCCTGGCTTACAAAATCTATTTCTTTGTGTACACCAGATTCCCCACCAGTCTTTGCAATCAGGTGTAAAATACACACACCACAAATTTAAGAATTCTGATCCAAGCATTCTGTTTCTAGCCACAGAACATGACTCTGTTCACAGTCCTGCACAAAAATCACTCCTGATTCTTATCATTAATTATATTTACATTCTGCCAATTTTCCTGCGAGTGCACTAAGGCAGCTTATATAATCCCCCTTCCTTCCACAACACTCTTGTAAGGTAGGTCAGGTTATGAGTCAGGGACTGGCCCGATGTGGCTCAGTGAACTTTACAGCCAAGTGGGAACTGGTCCCAGATCTCCTGAGTCCCAGTCTAAGACTCTAACCTCTATACATCACTGTCTTTCAGCTGGAAAAACCAGGAGACCAAGAGCAATGGCAAGTCATTTTGCTGCTAAACAACTAGAAATCTGAAATCTTTGCTGATCACCCACAAATCTGCCAGTTGTTCTCAGTTCACCTTCTGTCCACCCCATGTGCATAACTCCCCTGACTTAACACAACTCTGGAAGTGGATGAATCAAATCCAAATAATTTGCACACGAAGTAATTTTTTAAAATCTCACTGGGGCTGTATCTCTTGCTGTCATCATACAATCCTGTAGAACCAATGCATCCATCTTGCACTTCACATGGGGAATACTTTACACACAGAGCACCATAGGAGACCGCTAGCTCCCATCACTAGAAAAGTATCCAGGTTCTTCCCCTCCTGGAAAATTTTTCTCTTTTCCTTGCAAAGCTACAGAGAAAGGGAAAACTGGGCAGCCTCTTGCACCAAGAATTGCCATTGGCATACCTTTCCACCATCATTACAACCTTCACTGGTTGAAAAAAAGTGGGGAGGGGGAGTCATACTGCAATCTTTTCATGGGCAGTTTGTTCTGTCCTCAGTCACAGCAACTGACTCCCAGCTGATGCAAGAGAAAAAATAAAAGGAGTCCCACCACCACCAAATTAGGCTGCCGGAAAAGAACATTTGGGCTGTAGGAGCAGGAGTGGGTTGTTGTGGGCAAGGACCTGCGGGGCTGCTTCCGCTCCTGACCACAAATTCTCGGGTTCAGAAGCAAATGTGTGTGTCTACCTTCACAACTCTTTTGCATCCGGGGGACCTCAGCATCCTTGGGGAAAGAAACACAGAATGAATCCATTTCCCTAGCCCTGGCTACCACGCAAGATATGGAGTGCTCTAACTATGCCATCTATTGAGCTGAAAGGAAGGGCTAGGCTGTTGCATTGCAACATCAGGAGAAATGAGCAGGATGGATTTACTTCTCAGCTGTGTACCGAGGAAATCTCCAGGAAAAAGCCATTCTTCACGCACTCCTGGGGAAAGAGTAGGGAAGGAGATATGGCCTCTTTATATCAACACGTAATGTCAGTTGCTTATTCTAACTGACATTGCCTGAACAATCTTTCCCGCACATGAAGTTTTTCTGATCGTGGACTGACTTTTAAGGTGAACCCATGAATAGTGAATTCTAAAACAGACCCGAAAAGGATATTCACTTAGTTTTCCTGATCTGGATGAAGGAACAGGATCCCGTTCTCTTGATGAGTGGTCTCCTCAGCACATTTCCAGGGAGGTCCTTGAAGGGCTTCACAAACAGGATGAAAGAGCAAGCTACATAATGCAAGCCATTTTGCTGGGGAAGTCATCATGGCTGGCTTTCATTCTTATAGCGCCTTATAGCTACAGAA